ACCATTAGTATGTGCTATCTCATTCTAACATCCTCTTTCGGGCAACACTGCTTGGTGAGCATTCCAGTTATCATATAGAGTTCAATGACGAAGTACATTCATAGAATTTTTTATTCTGTGATATGAATCCAAAAATCACGTGATCTGGTGATTGTCTTGGACTACAACGCCACCGGTGGTGAAGTAGAATTTATTAAAATGTTGGTCCATTAAATATTAAATAATAATTATTATTTATTTAATTATTTACTTATAATATTTAAATAACTACTATCTTAAATCATGGTTGTAATCATAACGGACTTAAAAGTAGGTAGGTATGATCACAATCAATTCAATACCGTTCAATAATGCGAGTAAGAGGGTGAGACTGCTTGGAGACTTCTACGTCTTTTAGTCGGATTTTATTTTGATATATTTGATAATATAAAATATCATAGCAAAATAATAATTAATATTAATCACATATTATGTAAAACTGCGGAAGATTTGCCGTTTCTCCTTATATTGCGTATCAGTAAGATTATAAGATACTAAGAAGTATTGTAGTAGGTATTTACCTAGTTATTTATCCTAACCACAGACCGGCTACACATTACTTGAGTTCCAGAAGATGTAAGATTGTTGATAAAAATGTCTAATATTATGCGTCTCAAATGGTCGAATACAATTTACTTAATTATCGTATTTACATTAAATAAATATGTTATGAGTTCTTTAAGTTGGTTTGTATTTATAATAATCTTTTCTATGCCACTATCAAAGTATCAACCCTTTTCACCACTATCTTTAATAGTTAGATGGCCCATATCCATAAACCAATCAAGTTCAGCAATCTCATTTCATAAATAACACCACAAAATTACTCTACCAGCCTAACTCTACACTTTTCCGCTACTAGTACTCCCAAAAGTAGTCCAATCGACTCGATTCAATATACTATTATATTGTTATGTCCTCCGCCGTAAAACAATTATAAATATAATTCATAAATAACTTGATAATATTTCACCTTTTTTCTTGTTTTAATCGTATCCGATAAATGCAATTATCGTTTCTGGGCTACATCAATTAATTCCTTCCAGATTTTACTTTAATATTAAATTTGTCGAAAGTCTTGTTACAATATTTTTTATTTAGATTTGCTTTTTATATCTATAAATTCCATTTTCTTTCTTAATTAATCATCCTCCTTCAGTATTCTCTTGCATTTCAAAATACTATGCATTCATTATCGAATCTTTACTTCTCATTTCTTCTTTAACTTCTAACAAATTCCTTTTAGCAACAGTTTATATTTTCTTTACATGTTCCTGGTTTTACATTTTTTTATATCTTTTCTTTCTCCACCAAATACTAATCATAAAAACCAAATCATTATTTTTCATTCTCATAAAATCGATCTATGCAATCAGTTTCCCTATTACATTATGGAAATCTGCAGTGGTTATGCGACTACTGGCTCATTAGCAAAATCTAATTCTCTCTGTATATCCTTCCTTCAATTAGCTCTATTATTTGGTCTGACTTTTGTTTAATACTAAAAAAAATAGTATTTGATAAATTATGGCTCAGTTGTAGGGAGTCTTCTTCCTCGTTTTACCACTTATTATTAAGACATTATACCATTCTTCTCTTCTCTGCCTTGATTAATAACTCGAACTTATTCTGCAAAAAAATTATTTATTTTTTTCTCCGTCTATTGCCTTTGGCATACCTATCCCTATTGACTTCCATCTTCGCATTTATATAGTTTCATTCAGATAGTTCTAGTGCGTTGTATCTATTGAATTTGCCCTTCCCTCTTAAAATATTATGATATAATTTAATCGTAAACATTTTTTATAGAATCACGTATATAAAACATAAATACACAATAAAACTGCCTTGCGTTCATGTATTATCTTATTTTAATCTTATTATCTTATAAAATAGGTTTATTCAAATATGTATCTATTTTATTTATATCAATATATATTGGTATTATTGGTAATATTTGATTATGGTTATATATATTTATTCAATTTTATATTATAATAAGCAATTAAAAAAAAAAAAAAACCTTTAATATGTAAGCTTATACAGTTACGCGTGAATCTTGTGGCATAAAAAAAGAAAATTACAAATAATAATATATAACATGTAAATTCGTAATGATATTTGGTAGAAACTATATAGAAGAACTTACTTACCTATTATAAGTAATAACTTACGACTTATATGTTATAAGTAAATTATTGGTACATTATAAATCATTTAATCAGTAGAGAGTATAAAAAAGGATTAAAGTTGTGTTTTTCACTATGCAAGTAAATATGTAATTAATTAATTCGATCATGTTATAAAAATAATAATAAATTAACAACACAATACTTCTACCTATCATGAGGTCTATGATTTATTATTCGATTGTGCCGTTGCTCGTTGATTTGAGAGAGTAACACGCGAATGTGGCCAATGATATTGTATTCAAAATATAATAATAATAATAAATTATTAGATTATTTATTGTTAATATTAGGTCATTATGAATTTTAAGAAGTACCTAATTGAAAAATGCAATGTAGTTCCAACACTGGGCCGCTTTTAAAATAAATTTATTTATTATTTTCTTTAGTTTTTTCATATATAGGACATAGGCGGGCATAAAATTGCAATACCTATTGTAAAGTAATAGTACCTATTTGTAGCCACCTAGGTTTATAGCTATACTCATTGAGTATAAAATATATCTATTTAATTTTATCATTTATACAAACATAATAGGTACATAATATTTAAATTAGCTGATGGTCTGATTATATGTCAATAACATAGTTATATGCCGAATCCAGGACAGGGACGTTGGAGGCAAGTGCCACCCCCGTCGGAAAAAAATAATATTAAAAATTTTTGTTTTAGTAGAGGGCTGAGGGGGGGTTATATCTATATTGTATAATTTTTCCTTTAAAGGGTCCTGACCGTAAATACATAGGTACTGGATCCGTCCTTGTATGTCATTAGGTAATTATGTCCTTATGCAAACCTGTGTACAGAATTTTTTCATAAAAGAAGTTATGAAAAAAATAAAAATTAGTATTTAAAAAAAAATATTTTATTTATACTAATTTTTAAGTTTATGAATTGTACCTTTTATTAAAGTGTTATCTAATTATAGTTTTTTGGTTATACGTTAAACTTATCTGTTAGAAATCTTGCAGAAGTAAACTTCCTTTTAATTCGATAAAAACAATAGCTGTTAATGACCTAGATGCAAAAAAGGTGATAGGGAGGTTCAAACTTTCTCTTACGCACTGGCCTGTACGGCCTGTACTTAAGTACTAAAGTACGTATATAATACAGAATACGGCAACATTATATTGGCAATTTTCAGGGATACAAATATTGTAAGTACTTAGTAAAACTTAGAAAATAATAAAATATCCTAAATACGTAGAACCGGTAAAAAAAACTATTATTATTCACAGTAAAAACCAGTAAATTCGTAAAACAAAAATTTTGTGAGCGATGTGAGCGATGATGGTTTTGCGATACACCGATCGCGTAGCATTCAGTGGTTGCCAAACAGTTGCTGTATAGGATGTCGGAAAAGGGGGGAAGGGTAGACGCGACACCAAATGGGCGGCGTCGGACTTGGTCGCGCCGGGCGCACCGCCGCACCCAGTCATCAATCAAACGTCGTGGTGTTCGGTTCTGCTGATACGCTCACACAGTATTAGGGCCGTGGTGCGTTTCATCGTGCATTCCGCTTAGCGGCGACGGCGTCTGATATCGCGGATGTTGAACGAGAAACAAATATTGTAGGACTCGCGTGTGGTCGTCGTTACGATAATCATAAAATTAGGAAGAGTAATTCTATTGTGTCGCGGATCCCGGTTTTTAAGTGCAAAGTTTCTGTTTCCGGTAGTGCCGCCCAAGACGACGTGTGTACCGCCTGTTATTAGTATTATTTAAAAACTTTCGTTTTATTTGCAGTTCTTTAGAGACGCAAGTATCAACGGACCGTTGTTGTGCGATTTTTGGTGTTTTATATTTAATCACTGTGCGTAGTTGCGGTGCGTGCGGACGTACGACTTGAATTGTACTATTTCGCGATATTGGTTAGATATTTTAATAAATTATCAGGAGAACATATTGATCTCTATTCTGCCGATTCTACATTACATCTGCAGCTGGTCGCTAAACTATGGTTTTCTATCACTACTTCCATTGCAGTACTTCTAGGGATCACACAACACAGAGTAAATACCTATTAATTACTAGTGTCTAGTATTGTAATATGTTCATACATGTAGTCTTTAATTTATTATGATATCTAATTGATACCAATTTTGGTAAAAATACCATTTGTTCAAATGCGTTATTGTATTAAAAGTCGTATAACATTGTATGGTTGTATGTTCCTGCGAGTTCAAAAGGCAGCTATAGGTTCCATGTACGTTGTGTGATTTCTGGCCAACTGTCAAAAAACAGTTGAAACCTGCCCCATTTTTTTTCATTTACAATTGATATACATTAAAAATAACTGATTTTATCAATACATTTCTGTTGAATAATTGATTTTTAAACCAAAATATCTTTGATAGATTAACGTTATAGTTATTGACTAAGTATACCTATTTAAAATAGTTTTACTCATCTCCTATGTTATATAACTTATGTTTAAGAAGATGAAAAAGTCATAGTTAAGCCTGTATTATGTTTAGTAAGGACAAATTTAAAATATGTAGATAATGTACAAATATAAAAAAAGTGGCCTGGGTACTAAAAAATAGGTTATGGGCTATGAGTTTTAACTAAGAAAATATTCATATGTTAGAGATAAAAATACCCCAGCAAATTCCTTGGGATACGTAATATAACAACTTATTATTTACTTATTGTTATTTATTAAAACTTTTAAAATAACTATAAACAATTGTTTAAAATGTTATATAGTACTGTCAAGATACTGATTAGTTCTACTAAAAGATACACTTATCCAGGTTTAAATTTGCTCCTGAATTAAATTTATTTATTTTAGTATATGATTGATTCTGTGATTAATTGTCAAATATTCTGTGGTGTATGCATAAAATAAAGCGAATAAAAAAAAAATAAGTACTTATAAAAAAAATGTATATTCATTAAAAAATTATATTTATGGTCAAGTCAGTAATAACTATATCATGATATTATACAGCAATACTTATTACCTAAATATATTTATTTCTTGGTTTACAATTAAAGTTTAAAAATAATAAGCTCAATATTTCATAAATTGAATATTAAATTTTCAAACATGTAGTCTGTAGATGAGTATGTATCTATATTAATTTATAAAAAGTTACTTCGGAAATACGATATTGACAAATAAAATTAGGTTTATCTGTTTTAGTTTCTGTATAATAATGTATTTTAAAGATTTTTGACTTAAGCTGTTTCTCAAACTACCTATAAAAATTCAAACTAATTTTTATTTTAGATTTGTTATAACTTATGATTAATAATATTTATTTATACTTAAGTATAAAAGTTTAAAATATGTATTATACTATACATTTCTAAAGATTTTATTCAATTATAATATTATTATAAAATTTAGTATTAGTGAGGTTTTTAAATATATCCTTAAGGTGACCTTATAGCAACATTATTAATACATTGAATAGTTTAAATTATATAATTGTTCAAATTTATTAAATAATACATGAGTACTCAATTTTTATTTTTCAATTGTGTTTCATATGTATAATATGGTGTTAAATATATTATAATATTGTGCATTTTTTTTATGATATTGATTTAATTATTAAGCAAAGTAATACATTAAGTATAAACTGTTATTTTTCCGTTTGCTTATTTCTATTATTTTTTTCCTCCAATTCCTCTAATGACAAGAAAAAAAATGTTAAATCTTATCCTTAATTATTTTTTTTTGTTTTGTATAACAAACAATATTCATCACTATTCTTAGCTTATTTATTGTAATTGTGTTCCTAATGTAGCTTAACGTTATACCTTGGTTTTTTTTTTGTCTTACATATCTCTAAAAAAAACTATTTTGGTTTCATTTACATACTATATTATGTAAGAAAACTGTAACTTAAGATAGATATTTAAAATACCCATGATACACATACTCTCATATGTCTAGGTATGTATTTAAAATATTGTATTATTGACTGTAGGTAATACTTATGGTAATACATTCAGTATTAGAACTTATAAAAAAAACATGAAAATTTAAGATATTATAATCATAACTTTTAGTTTGAAATTTTTTTGAGTGACTCCCGCTTTTAATGAAACTAATTTAAAAATTATTATGTACCTACCTAAGAACAATTTTTCATTAAAAAAATTATACACTTTTTTATGATTATTATGAATTCAAAATTAATAATCTGTTGACAGCTAGTATCATGGTAGGTATTCATATTTTGTTTTGGATTGTAGATTCCTTACAATTAAATTTTTATTTTTTAGGATTTCACTATCATGGAAGATACTTATCTGTATGGTTATACCTACTTTTTTATTTATTATCACATAAATATAATATTATTATAATATATATTGTGTATATTGAATACAAGATAGGCAATCAAGTTAATGTCTACATGTTTTTAGTTTTAAATTAGAAATAAAAACATGAATTACATCTCATGTATAATTTCAGGATGTATAAATTGATTTTAAAATATTTATTTGAATGTAAATGGATATAATTATAATATAATATATTATATAAGAACATTTTAAGAGCCTATGTTTGTTTCATGGGCATGACATAAATACAATATGTAGGTACACGAGATAACAGGAATCTGAATAGATCAGAGTGAAGAAATTTTAGTTGTTACTTTTATACGTCTAGCTCAATAGTTTCTGTTGATGAGAATTCTATATCAATAATATCTATTGTTTCAAATTTTAATAAGACTGTTTTATAGGCTAAGAAAATATAAATGTGTACAAGGTAACTTTTTTGTGAGGACTATAATTAAAATAGTTTTATCTTGTCAAAGAGTTTATGTAGACCGTAGACGTATATTGTGCAATATTATTCTGACAATTACATAGTGATCTCAGAGTAGGTACACCTTTTATTTTACCTTAATATTTTTTACCTATGTCCATTGTTTATATTTATATATGTATAAAATACATAAATACATTACTCATAAGCTCAAAATTATTTTGTTGTATGCCTATTGTATTTATTATTTTAATATTCAAGAAGCAAAAATAAATCTTTATTAACGTGAATTAAATTACTCAAATTTAGGATTAAACCTAATATAAGTACTATTTGTTTTTAAACCTCACATTTTCAACTATAGAATATAATTTTTTTAGTGTGGCTATGCTTACAAATTGCATTTAGCATAACATTTCAATCTGTGTATTATATAATAATTAAAATTGTTTAAATAATTTCATTAAGAAAATGGTATACTTATCATGCATAGATATATAATATGTGGGTAGTGTAGGTACTAGTGTTTTATTTACGCCGGATGTTTTATTAGTTTGAAAAACAATTTTTCCCTCCAAAATCTTCAAAACCAATTTTACATTGTATGTACGATACATCACGTTTGTGCGTAAAATGTGGGCGTTTGTGCAGGTATTATAATTTATAAATCTACGAACACATGATTTTGACCCTATTAAAATTGCGTGTGTAGGTAGGTGTTTCTTATTGTATTTACATTCCTTATTCCATTCATTTTAATATCTAAACTTGTAGGTTTTAATACGTTGTGTGGGATTATCCGAACATGTAGGCTACGTCGCTACGAGGATCTTCAAGATTTTCATTCATTCATGCAGTTATTCATATTTTAGTATTATTATTTAAGTATGTGCATGTTTAATACAAACTTGAATTAATATATTAGCATTTCCGTTTGACATATATTTTATATTATTTTAAATTATAACATTTAGCATAGGCCGCCTGATAAAAATAGAAAAGATGGATTGTGTAGTTAAAATACCCTAACAGTGATTACGTCACAAATATTAATTATTATGTCGTGCAAATTTTAAGTTTTTACTAAATTATATTCAACGAAATAACACCAGGGTTTTCTGTATAAATAATGAAATGGTCAAGATTAAAATTTTGAAACAGTTATAAGTTATCTACAATAAATTCTTAAAGTTGTATCATGGTTTCAGATGGTAAATACATTTATCAATAATTATAAAATACAAAAATAATTTTTACAAGTATTTTATAATATATATAGCGATGAGTATCTGTGTTACATAATATTATCTTATTATTTACCATCTTTATTGCTATTATTTCTAAATTACATACCCAAATTTTAACGAAAATATTAATTTGTTAATTTAAATATAGGCACATACTTGGTTTGATTCCGTTCGTTGTTTAATTGCAAATTTATTTATTAATAATTATTATGTGTAAGCATTATGGTTTTTTGTCCAAACTCTTAAAAAATACACCTTAACGAAGCCTCTTACATTAGTTTCCATATGATAATTTTACATAGCCTTTTTTATTAAAATAAAATTGGTATATAGCCAAATAATTTATGCACTATTATGTTTTTGTGCACATAAAGTTTTTTATGAAATTATTTTATTGGAGTATCTTGACGAAGATTTTTCAAAAAAATATATAGATACTCTTATATTATGTTAATATATTTTAAATAATTAAAAAAAAAAAAAATTATTTTTAATTTTTGTACAATACTTTTTAATCGATTTAATAGATGTATTAAATACTTAATTATTTTATATTTATTTAAGTAAATAAATTAATAGTTAATATTTTTTATAAATATATAATTTTTTCAACCAATATAAGTCAAATTTGAATGCACATATTGTTATTATTTATTTTTTTAAGTAACTAAGTAAACCGAAATAGGTACTTCCTCGTTTCAACTTTTTTAAACTAAAGTCAAGTTTGTATATTATGATTATTTATTCAAACACTGATTCAAAAACTATTTACTGTTTAAAGTTTTTAATAATTAGTAACACTATTATTTATAAATATAATACTAGCATTCATTTTTTATTTAGTAACATCAAAATGTCTACAGATCAGCCAAGTATATTTTAAAATATAAATAATATACATTCCTAGCGAATTAGCCACTTTTAAACTTCTAGTTAGAAAAAATATATATGATGGTTATAAAACAAAAGTATATCTGTCGTTGTCTATTAAATTACATTTTATTAATTTTTGAAAAATATATACTTCACAAAT